CGAGGGAGGGGTGGCGTGTTGAGAGGAGGTGGGCGGGCGGCGTCCCGCCTGCGAGGTTTTCTTCGTAATGCGGCATTCTCACTGACCCCGTTCCTGGAGGAACGGAGGCTGCTCAGGTGCGAAGCTGTCGTGTATTGGGGCCCGCAAGGTAATTCCCCCAAGCGCCCTTTTTGCCTGTAGCAGTTGGCAGCTCCTCTCCGAAGCCTGTGTACCTTTTAGTCCTGCCTGGCTCTTGCTGCATTGCTGCTCACTCAGAAGTTGCCAGGCAGCTTATTTTTAACCCTTCGCGCCTTTCTCCCCTCCTCAGGACCAGTAACTGCAGAGATACAGGTATTGGGCCCGCGCCGATGTGTTTTTTCACGAGAGAAACCATGAGTCTAAACCCTGTAGATACTTCAGCTTTCCTTCCCCAACAGAGTCACTTTCACTGTTAACTGACAGCAGCTGTTGCAGTTGCTGAGGCAGTGGGCAGTAATAGGAAGACTTCCTAGTCTGGTGACTAACAAGTGTGGGGTTTCTTCTGACAGGGCCTTAGGAGGAAGTTCTGATTACAGCAGGAACAAGTACGGTATTACAAAAGCTGACAGCTCTAAGGTTAGGCTGAATATGTTGGAAGAAATGATTGCATTGTTGCTGAAACAAATGCGGTTGAGAGTCTGGTTCCTCAACAGATTAATCTTAAGAAAGCAGTTTCAAATGAGGGTTTTTTTTGCCTTTTGTTTTTGAGCTTTGTTTTATGATGTTTTCAGACTTTCCTGAACAACCAGAGGTTAGAAATGTGTTTGGTGTTAACAAAGGCAGAATTCTTCAATGCCTTTAGTTCTGAAAACTACATTACTTGAGTCTCGACATAAATGTTAAGAGCTAACGCTTGTGTAGCTCTATTGAGTGTCACGCTACATGCCCACAGAAGCTGAAAAAGATTGAAGCTGCATTTCCAGGCATTGTAAAATAAGCTATCAAGGTGCGGCATGTTCTTGTGTCTCAGCTTATTTTAAAGAGTAAACAAATATGTATTTCATTATCTACCTTAAAATAGTGCTCTATTGTGGATGAGGGATGGATCGGGTAAAATTAAAGTATTTCTAAGGCTGTCTAGGTACTCCCTAGCCAAATAGCATCAACAAGAAAAGCAATACATTTCAGCACAGCATAAGTGTTCTGTCAAGAGCGTAGAAGTTCTATGTTGTAAGAGAAAGTTTGCATGAAAGAATATAAATATTCTCAGGTGCAGAAGTCAGCAGTAAGCATAAAATATGAGCTGGTGAGATTAGGCAGGTCTGATTGCTGCCCTTTGTGGAGAAGCGTGGAAGAGTACTAATGTGTAAACAGGGTTTCCTTCCATCAGGAGGTTGGGCACAGTTAGTAGAAGCTATTTTTCAGGCTTTCTTATTCTGCATTTGTTAAAATACTGCTGTAGATGCCAAGTTTAATTAGAATTCCCTCAAATCAAAGTTTCTTACAAGTCAGGAGACTATTTCTAAACCATTTAGGATCCTATTTCTAAACCATTTAGGGGCCTAACTAGGGATATTTCTTTTCTTCAGCGTATTTTGTAGCATCTTCCCAATCAAAGCCTGCTCAGAAATAAGCCGCCTATTTTTATCGTGGGTCAGATACACAGCTTCTGCTAATTAACATAGCAGCACTGAAGGCCTCAGATACAGCCTTACATAGAAGCCGCTGTGCAACAAAGACAGGTTTGGATTGTCAGATGACGCGACAAATGTGTGAACATACTTGTAGGGGCCCCAGAATGTTTTTGTGTGTTTCTGGGGATGGCAAAACGCAAGTAGATTGAATCTTCTACCAGCTGTATTTCCAGCAAGAGCAATATTGAAGGTGGGAGAATTGAATCAACTTCCCATAAACCCTAAGTTTTCTCAGGGGATCTCAGATCGAGGAAAAGTAATGATAACCTAGTTAATGAGAATTCCATCTATTACGAGGTGTCATGCCACATCTGGCAAAGAGTATCTGCAGCACCAGCCAGTTTTGTTTTGGTTTTTAAAGGAAGCTTTCAGTAATAGAAGAGAAGCAACTGTAGTTGTCTGTAGCTGGGAAACTGATGACTCAGACCCTATTCATGCTGTTGAAAGACTGTTTTATGAGACCCGTCAGAGCTGTGGGTGGACCTGGAGAGGAGTTCGAAGGCAGACTTCATACGCAGTGATGCCTGCAGCGGTGTCTGATGATTGTCCCGTCATACACCGCTAATGGCATATCGTTTTGGAGGTTTTCTTTAATCTTTGGGTTGTGAGGCTGCAGAAAAGGGCAGGGCAGGGAATTTCACCATTTCTTTTATCTAAAGAGGTGTACCATCAGGTCAGAAAAGAACTGCTGAAGCAGCACTCTGCCTTAGAGGGGGAAAGAAAGTATTGGAGTTTGCTTTGACCCTGCTACACCCCTGTGTGTAACCATTTGTAACTAGTGACATTTTCCCATCAATAACAAAAGGGTATATTCCAAACTTGATGAACAAGACTGTAGCTGCATAGCTCCCATGAATGCTAATAGGAATACAGCCTTTCTCCATCCCCATGTAAGTTACTTTGCATATCCTAATAGTGCATTCTCAATGAGCAACAGGGTCAGTGTTAATCACTCCGTGGCATTCCAAGAGCAACTGCAGGGATCTCTACCACATTCCCCTTGGTCATGTTATGTCTAGTGTGGCTTGATCAGAGCTAGGAAGTTAAGTATACACATGGGAATGTTAAAAAGATCTTAAGGAATTAAAAGAAAGGAACTGTAAAGGAGATGTTGGAGGGCTGATACAACTTGTTAGTAATTTTTAATTAAAAAAAATAAAATCCTTTCTGTCTGGAAATTATATACATGTCATGTGCCACCGCTGTTTTTGTAAGTCTTTGAGTCGTTCTATGATTCGGGACCACAGGGCTAGATTTACGTTTGGGTAGCTAGTGCCGAGTATC